TTTGGTGACTTAGTATCGAGTCATATTGCACCTCTTCGGCTTCTTCCTAACGTCAGTTTGTGTTCTATTGGATTGGGTTTCACGTCGTAGCTGCACAATCGGATTAGTCTCACGTTGGTTGTGTGCAGGATCCTCGAAGTCTCATTTGCCTAGGCCTTGGAGGCAAACCAGATGTTCGCCGCTAATGTTATTCTACTGATTTGGACCTCTGGTGCTAGGTTAGATTTGAGTCATCTAAAATGCATGTTGTTCCTCCACTGATTAAAGAAAACTTCACTCCTCACGGTATACCATTTTATTTCTGTGTTTCTTCGTGTATTCTCAAGTTTTTGTGATTCCTATATCTGTGGTTACCTGAGTTTAATTTCAGCTCCTGGGTCTCGCCTCATAACCTTCAGTTGACTGAGTTACTTTTTCCAAAACCCGTTGGACTCTTTCTTATCTATCAACGGGTCGTGTTGGTACTTTATTTTCATCTGTGTTCTTTGCTCTTGTGCTACGCCAGCTTGTCAGCCGTAAAGACGGGCTCGCCATAGCCCGTGCTATTTGGAACTTTTTGTTCCAGGTAGCGAATCTTAAACAACAACAACTTGTCAGCCGTTTAGAGTTACTTGGGTATTTTGTAAGTTGTGATCGCGAGGGTTAAATATGTCAGTATTCTCTCGTAATGTATGGCTCTCAGCTCCTGGGCCCAGCCTGCAGTTTTTCTAGTAATCTATGTGATGGTCTGTTTCTATTTGAGTATCTTTGTAGTCTTCGTAAATCTTCGTATTCTTTGTAGTCTTTCGTATTCTTTATAATCTTTTGTATTTTTTGCAATCTTTTGTATTTTTTGTAATATGTTGTATTCTTTGTAATGTGTGGTATTCTTAATAATATTTTGTATTCTTTGTAATCTTTTGTATTCTTTGTACTCCTTTGTAATTATTTCCATTGATAAATAGCCCAAATTAAGTAAATACTGTTCACAGTTACCTGTGCAGAAAGACTTTTTAGATTACTTTGTATTGAACACCACACTTTTGAGTCAGGTCCAAAACTCCAAGTGGAAGTTAAACGTTAAAACTCTTTATTGTAATATGAAACTATTCATAATTATTTATCAAAAAATACAATAAAAATCATATAATTAATAAAATAGGTGATGCCTTATTTTTAGTATTTTTTTTAAATTAGAATGTTGGACAAATATGATTTATTCTTTGTGACAAAGTTGAGACTCGCTGGATCGTTCATGTTTTGAGTTTTCGTTCGAGCCGCTATACACCGGGCTCAATACTCGATTATTTTTTGTGTATAGTTCTTTGAACGTTGTATACGATAACATATAAATACACTTTTTTCAACTTTGTTTTGAAACACTCGAGTAAGTATTAAATTTCATTGTTGGTGTGGGAGTGCGTATAGCATTATAGCGAATCTATAATGTTATTTCCTTTCGCAACCCGCCCAACCATTTGGGCTAGACGGTAGAGCGACGGTCTCGCTTCATGCAGGTCGGCGTTCAATCCCCCGACCGTCCACAAGTGGTTGGTCACCATTCCTTCCCCACGTCCCATCCCAAATCCTTATATCCTGACCCCTTCCAAGTGCTATATATTCTCGAATGGCTTGGCGCTTTCTCCTGATGACTTTTCCCCTTCCTTCCTTTCGCAACCTTCAACCTTTTTTATTTTTTATTTTGATTTGATGGGGAACTTTTGTATTTTGTGAGGGGATTTTTGTATTTTGTGGGGGGATTTTTGTATTGTGTGGGGGGATTTTTGTATTTTGTGGGGGGATTTTTGTATTTTGTGGGCGGATTTTTGTATTTTGTGGGGGGGATTTTTGTATTGTGTGGGGGGATTTTTGTATTTTGGGGGGGAATTTTTGTATTTTGTTGGGGGGATTTTTGTATTGTGTGGGGGGATTTTTGTATTGTGTGGGGGGATTTTTGTATTTTGTGGGGGATTTTTGTATTTTGTGGGGGGATTTTGTATTTTGTGGGGGGATTTTTGTATTTTGTGGGGGGATTTTTGTATTTTGTGGGGGGATTTTTGTATTGTGTGGGGGGATTTTTGTATTTTGTGGGGGATTTTTGTATTGTGTGGGGGGATTTTTGTATTGTGTGGGGGATTTTGTATTGTGTGGGGGATTTTTGTATTGTGTGGGGGATTTTTGTATTTTGTTTAATGGGGGATTTTTGTATTTTGTTTGATGGGGGATTTTTTAATTTTGTTTAAAGGGGGAATTTGTTTTGATTATTGAGATAACTTTACTTAATTTTGAGCCTCGTGGCACTTGAGTAATTACTTTTAGGTATTATATATAAAGCTGCTTTTAAATAATGTTCTCCTATAAAGATCAGCAAACTCCATGGTACCATACTGGGGGTATACACAAAGAGGTATACCCCACGCTTCACCTTATATGTATACTGAGAGTCTACTTCAGCCTTAGATTATGTCCAGGGACTAAAATATACTTGTTGGATGGTCAGTTAGCTATCATAGTGGTCTTAATAACCCTCCAACACCAGACCATGTTTATGGTATTATTATTTGGGTATTATTGGGGGAAGGGAGGGAATATATGTGCTTCATATCGTCGTATTTCAGAACCTGGAAATATTCTACACATGGTATGAGAAACTGGCAGTTTACTCTCTCTCACTCTGAAGTGAAAATGTATGTTGACCAGACCACACACTAGAAGGTGAAGGGACGACGACGTTTCGGTCCGTCTTGGACCATTCTCACAATGGACTTGAGAATGGTCCAGGACGGACCGAAACGTCGTCGTCCCTTCACCTTCTAGTGTGTGGTCTGGTCAACATACTTTAGCCACGTTATTGTGACTCATCGCCTGCATGTGGAAATGTATGTATGGAATGAGGTATATTCATATGCATTGGGGGAAATGTATATGAATCGAAATGTAAGGAAGTGCTCCTGCTCTGGACGGGTGGTCATCAAGTGGAATGCACTGAAGGAAGTTGTAAAAGCCACCTCCATCTACAACTTCTAGAGCTAGATTCGACCAAGAACTCGAATGTCAGGATAGTCAAATTGTAGCGCAACAGGTACAACAGGGCAAGTAGGTCGGGCATGCAGAGCTAGAGCTCACTTTCTCGTCGTCACTGGTAGGTGAGTACTCATACACCGTCACTGCCACTCCTCCCCACCACAGGGGGGTGGGGGGTCGCATCCTGCCCCAGGCAAGGCTGCCTGTCACGCCATTATGACTTTCACACTCCTCATGGACTTTAATTACTGCCAGGCTAAGAGGTTGTGTTGCTTCATGATATATATATATATATATATATATATATATATATATATATATATATATATATATATATATATATATATATATATATATATATATATATATACTAGGAATGTGTCCGGCGTTGCCCGGGTCTGTCTATCTTCCTTCTCTATCTGTCGATCTATATCTATCTAGCTATTGTCTCCTGTTATGACTCAGGGTATTCACTATAATATGCACTGTGTCCTAACTTTATGAATAAGTCCTATAATTGTTGTCATTAATATGTGTGCTGTTTGGGTTACCGTTATGTTCAGTTTTGTTGTTATAACCAGTGGGAAATTATATGTTCAAGTTGCTGTGATAGATAATGTTTGTCAGTAGAGATTCGGACTACACGATAAAATATTATTTGTTTATGTCTTGGCGCGCTGTTAAACTACGTAACTGCTTCTTTAGCTGTGTGTGTGTGTGTGTGTGCGCGTGTGCGTGTGTGTGTGTGTGTGTGTGTGTGTGTGTGTGTGTGTGTGTGTGTGTGTGTGTGTGTGTGTGTGTGTGTGTGTGTGTGTGTGTGTGTGTGTGTGTGTGTGTGTGTGTGTGTGTGTGTGTGTGTGTGTGTGTGTGTGTGTGTGTGTGTGTGTGTGTGTGTGTGTGTCCATGCCAACACAGGTAAACCAGCAACGGTGTTATTCAGGTGTTGTAATGATTTAACTGTTATAACACATATTTATTATGAAAGTAAACCTGTGCAAGTGTTCAAGTACATTTAGTACTGGCAGACAGCTTAATTACGTTATTGTGAAGTGTACCACGAGAGTGTAGCCAGTGTTATTGTACCCTTCTGTTGGTAATTGTATAGCTGACCTCTGCCCTGTTGTTGACGCTTCCCACCCTCACTGGTCTGGGGGAGACTGGGGAGGAGGTACGGTGGTAGTGCTTGAGCTCCGAGGAGTAATACAGTTTGATATCGTGTAGGGTTAGGTAAGAAAGGTATTGTGGATTGGTAGCATCAGTATTAATATTATTATTAATTGTGTGGTTCGTGTTTTGATTGTGGTTGTGTGAGGTTCAAGTGAGTATATTTGACAGTCTATATGGGGACGTTTTCTGAGGCATTTGGGGTTCTAACTGTTATGACTCTCATATGTGACATTGAAAGATTAAGTGTCCAAAGTTTATTTTGCTGTTTTAGTATGACCTGATGCCAAGAGTTGATCCTGTTAACATTTTCAAGGACAGAGTATAAGTGAATACAACTCAGCTGGAGCAGCTGAATATGTAACATTGTACTCACCTAGTTGTCCTTGCGGGGGTTGAGCTTTGGCTCTTTGGTCCCGCCTCTCAACTGTCAATGAACTGGTGTACAGATTCCTGAGCCTACTGGGCTCTATCATTCTTATACATGAAACTGTGCATTACACACAGAGATCACACTAACGTGATGAATCAAATGAACAAATCTACAAGGGCCGTGACGAGGATTCGAACCTGCGTCCGGGAGCATCCCAGACACTGCCTTAATCGACTGAGGTACGACAGGGTAAAAAGAGTTGAAACCGAAGTTCTACTGAAATTACTGGAACCCGTAGCCTCTCCGTGGCACAAACCAGGATTTTACACAACTCTCCCCTGCACCCTGTGCATGGAGTCAGCCTCCACCACATCACTTCCTAGTGCATTCCATTTACTAACTATTCTGAGAGATTGTGTGTGTGTGCGTTGTTAATAGTCTTCCTTGGTCTCTTCCACAGCTCCAGTGAGGAGCCACGAGTGGCATCTCTCTCCAACAACTCCCTCAGCTCCTCCACCTCCACCTCCTCTACCGTCGTCGCCGCCAACGGCCACATCTCCTCCAGACGTAGAACAGGTAAGTCACCGCTCCAGTACCTGGCCACTACCATGTAACACTCTCTGAGGACGAGTAGGGTCTAAAACCTGGCAAATGGATGTACTCCCTTGACGTCATCGCTACTCTTTAAACCCCCCCCCCCCCAACCTGACTTAACTGAGTTAAAATAAGAGATAAAATGTTGCGTTTTAGGTATAGTATGGACGAGCTGTGACGTCACTATGACGTCATAATTTTCATGCCGTGAAAGTTTTGTATAATACTGGAGTTAGAGGAAGGGAAGGCAACCTATCAGGGAAAAGCGCCATCACGAGTATATTGCACTTGGAAGGGGTCAGGATAAGGATCTGGGATAGGACGGGGAGGGAAGGAATGGTGCCCAACCACTTCGACGGTCGGGGATTGAACACCGACCTGCATGAAGCGAACATACATACTCCTGAATATACACACTAGGCTACTAAATTTGGTATACCAGATGTGTCTTCGCCATAATGGGCTTCCTGCTGAGCCCGTTATCTTGAGTCGCCACAACGTACAAAATACGATGTGCTAACCTATCCAGAAGAGTAAGAACCCGAGCAACCCACCCAACCTAATCTACTAATACATAGAAAACTTTTTCCTATTACTTTGTATATACTTTGGGGACCATAACGTCCAAAATGAGACGCATTAGCTGGAGGACGGGCAGTGTTGCTTCCAATCTAGAGGGATTGGCTTGAAGCACTGATCCTTAGCACTTAGTAGTACATATATATATATATATATATATATATATATATATATATATATATATATATATATATATATATATATATATATATATATATATATATATATATATATATTTTTTTTTTTTTTTTTTTGTTTCATATAACTTAATGATTGCAAGCTTGCCTGCTGCGGTCCGCTGACCAGTGCCAGGCTGTGTCACTCTGTATCATTGTCAATCTGAGTCAGGCTGTGTCGGTGGCAAAGGTCTGGCCGTGAGATCAGGTGAATCATGGACCCCGTTGTTCTCAGCTCACCATGTGCTACTCTCAATGCAGGCGATGAGTCATAATAACGTGGCTAAAGTATGTTGACCAGACCACACACTAGAAGGTGAAGGGACGACGACGTTTCGGTCCGTCCTGGACCATTCTCAAGTCGATTGTGACTTGAAAATGGTCCAGGACGGACCGAAACGTCGTCGTCCCTTCACCTTCTGGTGTGTGGTCTGGTCAACTACAACTGGAGGCTTGGCAGCTCCACCGTCCTCAGCGTTCTCACGTGTTGACGTGGTCCGGGTTCTGGCCTGGCCCGTGTATGGCCCAGCTGGGGCTGACAAATGATGCTGTGGACTTGTAATGATGGAGACTTTACCTGTAGTTTACCTGGAGGCTGTTTCGTCTGCTCCTCTATTGTCTCCAAGACCCCGACTTGGGGGGTCAGGTTTGTTTGTGTGGGGTGATGTGGGGTTATGTTGTGAAGGTGTTATATGGGAGGGGTGATATGTTGTGTTGCAGCGTTATATGTGGGGTTTGATGTACTCACCTTAGTGTGTGTGTCTGTTGGCAGTGTGACTCACTTCTGTGTTTTTCCTGAGCTTTACACACGTTATTTTTAAGTGTGCTTCAATTCAGAGTGCTGAGTCAAATATTTAATCATCTGCTTTTGTTTCTCTCCCCCTCTGTTTGCTCTCTCTCTCTCTCTCTCTCTCTCTCTCTCTCTCTCTCTCTCTCTCTCTCTCTCTCTCTCTCTCTCTCTCTCTCTCTCTCTCTCTCTCTCTCTCTCTCTCTCTCTCTCTCTCTCTCACTCACACACACACACACACACACACACACACACACACACACACACACACACACACACACACACACACACACACACACACACACACACACACACACACACACACACACACACACACACACACACACACACACACACACACACACACACACACACACACACACACACACACACACACACACACACACACACACACACACACACACGTGTTGATTAACAAGACACGCAGGAGTGTGTAGTTGTGCAATGGACGGGTCAAGTGCCTGTGTTGAACCTCGTCTCCTAAATTACCCCTCAAGTGTTGACTGTACTGGCTGAGTGATTGGCTTGGTATACAAGTGGCTGTTTGCTCTGGTGAAGGCTTCACTGGTTCACTGACTAGTTAGTGAAGGTGTCTCAGCCATTCCTCATCCTTTTGTATAAGTTTCACTGATTTACTGTTGGAACGGGTTCCTGTTGTTATTGGGTAGCTGTTGGATTGTTTCCAACAGTTGGATTGGATTTCGCCCTTCATAAATTTGTTTGTCCAGTTTTTCAGTCTAATTTATATCTAAGAAAGTCTTTTATATATACAGTTAAATTCTCATAACATGAGGCTATCTTCAATAGGCGCTTCAAGTTGTGGTTAAAACGTAACACTTAAATGTATTCATGATGTGGATTTTTTAATATGTTGAGGGGTCCGAACCTATGCGGAGGTTATCTTTGTCTAATCCAATATACCAATTCAAGTGTATTGATCGATGCTCCCTTCACACAATGATGCTTACACCTGCCTGCCTGACACTACGAGGAACACACACCTGGCTACACCTGTGACTGTATTTTAACTCCTGACGCTTGTGTCCTCACGTATCACAATAACTCTTTTGAAACTCGTCGTATTATTTGACAAATATTAACTGTTTTTTTTTAAGCTGTATTCAACACCTGGCAATTTTAAAACCGTATTTAATAATTACAAAAATGCGAATTTTCTACTGGAGGAAATAAAAGTTTATATAAATATTTGCGTTTCTGATTAAAATGTCAGACGTGTTCGCGGGTAATGAATTATAGAGCGTTTTGTTCAGACCTCAGCGTGCTACATCCTGTAGTTAAATCGTGATGAATCTAGTAGTTTATTGAAGGCGCTAGACAAGCCTAAAGCTATACCTCGATACAAGCCTGCATATATATACACAGGCTTCCTGTCCCCGACAAAACTACTTAAAATTCCGTCAACTTGACAACAGATACTTCAAGTTGGGTGTTTTCTCGAGACAAATGTTACTTAAATTTTGAATTAAAAACAGCGAGATACGACACTCTTAATGTAATATCAGAGTTTACAACACTATTGTGATGACTGAATATCCTGATGTTCATACATTTTGTAGGATGACTGAAGGATTACAGAGATTGTGTTAGTATGAATTTATATTTTTTTGCAAGTTTTGTTGGTTGAATCTGGGATTCCTGCAAGATTATCCGCATGAGATTATTTGCATGAATGGGAGTGGAAGAGAGGGAAGAGGATTGGGAGGGGGGGCGATGGGAGTGGAAGAGAAAGAGAATGGGATAAAGAGAAAGGAACAGGAGAAAGTGATACAGATGAAGAATAAGACGCAGGGTTCAGGATAGGTCGTGCTGCTGCTGCGAGAGGGTTCATTAAGTATTTACACAACCACTAACGAAACCTGTACATCTGCAATCATATCGCTTACATTTATTAAAAAGTTTACGAGTTTCGAAACTTTACAACCCAAGGTTATTATTGTTATAAAAAACCTCGTAGTGCTCCGAAGCTCATAACTTTTAGAACTCTAAATAACATCGATATGATTGAGGAAAGATGAACAGGTTTCGTAAGTGGTTGCTTAAATGGTTCGTGAACCTGTGTTCTTAGTGGCATCAGTCCCTAGATGATTCAGGATCAGCTGTGTTGTTGCACTAGGCATTGTAGGTGAGTTTGACCGAGAATGGCAGCGGGAACTGCTGGCAAAATGGTCTCTCAGGCTCCATTCTATAGTTAACAAGGAACTTCCTTCAATAACATACTCTTAAGAGTAACCATTAATAGAGCTGAATCTCAAATTACCTCAATTGGTGCCAGTGTACCACAGGGTAGTGTACCTGCCCCCCTCCCTCCTCTCTTGTTCAATATCTGCTCCAACAATCTTCTGCTCCTCATTACCACTGCTCTTGCTTGCGTTAATGACTGCACTCTAATCTCTGCATATACCAAAGAGGAAATGGCAACTACTACGAGGCTCATTAATCACGGGACGTAATATTTTGTGTTTCCTTTGTGAGGTGGACGACGACAGGTTATCATTTGTGGCAGGAAACCGATACTGATTATTATAACTACCGGTGAGTACAATATATTTAATGTTTGTTAAAATAGTTGACATTCTGGTGATGAAGTTTGAATTAATATTATATGACCATGAAGATTCACACGTGCTGAACGTAGCAAGGCACACAGGTAACTTACAGCCATCAGCCGTATTTTCCCCACCTTTTCGACAGCAGTGGTTGCAAAACTTTATGTGAAATACAAGTTTGTTTCCAACTTGAGTATGCATCACTCTTCTGCGTGGCCGGACCCGCTATCATTTATCCGAATTATGGACAAAAATATAGAGCCATGCGAGAAGACTCATTTGAGTCTTGACTCGTTACTGTTTAACTGGTCAGTACATCAGAGCCTGTAACACCGGCGAGATGTTGGCGGACTTTCTTATGTATAATCCAATTGTCATCAAAGTTCCCCACCCGTCCCAACATCGTGGACAACCGTAGCAGAAGGCAGTTGGTCAACGGCCTCTTGCTGGGCGGGCCATTCACAAGAAAAGATTCTCAAGATATTCTCAAGACTCCATCTGCCATCATTCATTCCTTGATGGCTGGCATCTGGAGACTGACTCTCAACACACATGCGTAAAATCAAGTCAGCCTCCGTACAGAGGCTCAACATACAGTTGGCTCCAGCTTCAAGTAAAACTTAGCAGTAAATAAAGTTTTATTTCTAATGAAAGCTAATATTAACCTCGTTAAATTAATGCTAGGCTTCAACTAGGCTGATATAGGTTAACTTGGCTTGCAATTTCATTACGGTAACCCAAGTCATAGTGTAAAAAGAACACAACGAGAGAGAGAGAGAGAGAGAGAGAGAGAGAGAGAGAGAGAGAGAGAGAGAGAGAAGACAAGATAATGCTGAGAATGAATGACTCATA